GGGTGACCTGATAGAAGCTTACAAAATTATGAGAGGCCATAGTTGGAGTTTTTTTCCCAGGACAGAAATGCAAATTACTAGGGACATAAGTTTAGGGTAAGAGGAGTAAAATTTAAAGGGGATGTGACAGGCAAGTTGTTTTACACAGTGGGTGGTAAGTGCCTGGAACGCGCTGCCAGAGGAGGTAGTAGAAGCAGATACAATAGCAACATTTAGGAGGCATCTTGACAGATATATGAATAGGTAGGGAACAGAGAGATATGGACCACATTGAAGCAAAAGGTTTTTACTTAGAAAGGCATCATGTGTCGGCGCAGGCTTGTTGGGCCGAAGGACCTGCTCCTATGCTGTACTGTTCTGTGTTCGTTTGTTCTTATTAATGACAATGTGATGTTTTAGAAAAATTGGAAATACTTTCCAAAAGAACCTTGTCAGAAGAACCAAGCTGTACAAACACACTCAGTGTGAATTTGGACTTATGTGAGTCCACCTGAAGGGGATGTGGTGGTAGAACAGGTTAATAGGGTCTCTAGGAAAGCATATGAGGCACTTGCCTTGATCAGTCGTGGCATAGATCATAAAAGCAGGGAGATTATGTTGGAGCTGTACAGGACTTTGGTCAGGGCACAGCTGAAGTACTGCATATGCAGTTCTGGTCACTGCGCAATAGGAAGGATGTGATTGCACTGGAGAGTGTGCAGAGGAGATTTACCAGGATGCTGCCTGGAATGGAGCATTTCAGCAATGAAGAGAGGTTGGATAAGCTCATGTTGTTTTCTTTAGAGCAGAGAAGGCTGAGGGGGATCTGATAGAGGTGTATTAGATTATGAGAGCTATGGAATAGAAAGCAGCTGTTCCCCTTAGTTGACGGATTAATAACAAAGGGGCATAATTTTAAGGTAGAAAGTAGCAAGTTTAGAGGGGATTTGAGGAAAACATTTTTCACCAAGAGGGTAGTGGGAGCCTGGAATGCAGTGTCTGGAAGGGTAGTTGAGGCCCACAACCTTTAAAAAGTACTTGGATGAGCTCTTGAAGTGTCATAACATTCAAGACAATGGGCCTAGTGCGAGAAAGGGGAACTAGTGTCGATTTTGAATCCTTTTTTGTCAGTGCAGACCTGATGGGCAGAAGGACCTCTTATGTACTGTGTGATTCTATTCTATGGTAATGTCACTATAGTAATCCAGAGGCCCAGGCTAATGCTTTGGGACATGGGTTCAAATCTCGGGATGGTAGCTAGTGAATTTAAAATTCAATCAAATAAAAAAATAACTCAGCAATTGAAAGCTGGTCTCAGTAATGGTAACTATAAAACCATCATCAATTGTCAAGTCGAAAACATCTGGCCTACAGGGAAAGATAATCTGCCATCCTGAAAGACCCTGGCCTACATGTGACTTCAGACTCACAACAGTATGCTTGGCTGCCCTTGTCTGAAACATAGAAACATGAAAATTAGGAGCAGGAGTAGGCCATTCAGCCCTTCAAGCCTGCTGTGCCATTCAGTACGATCATGACTGATCATCCAACTCAGTACTCTTCCCGCTTTTTCTCCATAACCTTTGATCCCTTTAGCCCTCAGAATCATATATAACTTCTAAAGACATTCAGTTCTTTCACCTTCAACCACTTTCTGTGACAGAAAATTCCATAGGCTCATCACTCTCTGGGTGAAGAAATTTCTCCTCATCTCAGTCCTCAGTAGTTGACCCCATATCCTTAAACTGTGACCCCTGGTTCTGGACTCTTTGGTCATCAGGAACATCCTTCCTGCATTTACCCTGTCTATCCTGTTAGAGATTTTTTAGATTTCTACAAGGTTCCCCCTCATTCTTCAGAACTCCAGTGCAAAGTAGTCCCAGCCAGTCAAGTTTCTCTTCAGCCATCAGTCCCACCATCCCAGGAAGCAGTCTGGTAACTGTTTGTCGCACTCCCTCCATAGGCAGAACATCCTTCCTCAGATAAGGAGACGAGGACTGCACACAATACTCCAGATGTGGCCTCACGAAGGCCCTGATCCAGCAAACCACTCAGCTCAAGGTAAATTAAGGAAGGGTAACAAATTGTCAGTGCTGCCCACATCCCATGAAAGACTAAAGAATAAAAATAAACAGTGAGTTGGAATTGCCTTGTCTCTGAAACAGGTATTCCTTCACTTTATATCACTGTACTATTGAGTAAAGTTAGCTGCTCTCCCATGGTCGGGAAAAGGATCACAATGTTTGGCCATTAGACTGTCCTGTTACCTTTCGATCACTGTCAAGAAGAAGAAATAGAGGACAGAGAGAAGTCTGGTATCTTGCTGTGTACAGGTTTATCTGCTATGTTTTCCTACTTTGCAATGTTGCATGAAAAATAAAAGCACTTAAACTTGGGCCATAAAGCACATTACATTTGGGACATCATAAGAAATGTTGTGAAGGGTACTACTAAGTCACAAGTTCTATCATCATATGGGTCTCGTGTGGATGGATTTTATTCATGTTTCTCAAGTGAACTCTAAGCTCCCCTTTGGAACCTGTCTGAGCATTAAATACCTCCCTGCAAATTACGGCAAGCTTTTTGATCTGATTAGTGCTGAAACAGCCAATCCCTGGTTCATTTCTCAGTGCAAGGTCCTGTGCAGTTTGAGTCAACTTCCCTGGGGTAAAAATCAAATAAATTATCTGTTAATCATCATTGATTGGTGAATACTCCACGGCAATGCTTCCACTAATCAGAGTCCATTTGCCAACCAGTCAGTTCTCTCCTATCATGCAGTTGAATGTTGGTTTTCTCCTTGAATTGGTATTCTTGCAAATTGTCCTGATGACTGCATGATGAAAAACATCAACAAAATGTGTCATTTTTTGGACGATAGAATCCCTACCATATGGAATCAGGCTATTCAGCCCAACACGCCCACACTGACTCTCAGAAGAGTATCCCACCCAGACTGACCCCCTACCCCATCCCTGCATTTTCCGAGGCTACTCCGGGTAACAGTTGAAAGTTGAAACCTTAATTGAGATGCCGTCATGTAGCACAGTGATAGTGTTCCCACCTCTGGACTAGGAGGATCAGGTTTGAGTCCCACCTGCTCCAGAGATCTGTAATAACCTCTCTGAACAGGTTAATTAAAAAAAAAGGTTTTTTTTCCAGAAAGGCAGACCCAGAAACCCTCTTGTGGCTCAGTGGTAGTATTCCTAGGTCTGAACTGAGAGCAAGGAATAAAAAAAAACCCCTAATTGAGAGGCCCTCATGTGGCGCAGTGATAGAGTCCCTAACCCAGACTGAGAGGCCTGGGCTCAGGTCCCACCTGTTCCAGAGGTGTGTAACAACATCTTTGAACAGGTTGATTAGACAAACAGGTTAATTAAAACAACAGCTTTAATTGAGAGGCCCTCCTGTGGTGCAGTGGTAGTGTCCCTACCGCTAGACTGGGAGTCCCTGGTTCAAATTCCACCTGCTCCAGAGGTATGCAAAATCTTCTCCGACACGTTGTTTAAGAAAATAGGTTAATTATAAAAAAAACCCTGATCGACAACAGGTCACACAAGTTTAAACGTCATGGGTATAATAGCAAACCGGTTATGTTATCAGACTAGTAAACTGAAGGCCCACATTATCTGCAGACATTAATTGATATCCCACCAAAGCAGTGGAGGAACTTATATTCAGTTAATGTAATAAATCTTGAATAAAATTCTAGTTTCAGTAATAGTGAAACTGCTGAATTTGCATTTAAAATCTTCTCATTCAGTCATGTCCTTCTAAAGGAAATTTGTTGACTTTACCCAGACCCATGACAATGTGGCTGTCTCTTCTCTGCCCTGTGTAATGTATGAGCAACATCTCTCAGTTTTATCAAACTGCTAACACAGGGTTTAAAAAAGCGATTCACCGCACTTCTGAGCAATTGGGAGTGAACCATTTTTAATTTGTATGTTCATTTTGATGTGGGCATCATTAGCTGGGTCAGAATTTATTGCCATCTGTAATTGGGCTAGAAAAGGTTGAGGCAGCACATAGGTGCACCAGGTAATCAGGAAGATTAATGGAATGTTGGCCCTCATTTCAAGGAGATTGGAGTTTATGAGCAGAGAAGTCTTACTGCAATTGTACAAGGTGTTGGTGAGTATTGTGAGCAGTTTTGGTCCCCCTTATTTAAGGAAAGATATTTTTCCATTGGAGACAGTTTAGAGAAGGTTCACTAGGATGATCCCAGTATGAAGGGGCTGGCTTATGAGCAAAGGCTAAACAGGTTGGGACTCTACTCACTGGAATGAGAGGTGATCTCATTGAAACATGTAGGATTCTTAAGGGACTTAACAGGGTAAATGCTGAGAGGATGTTTCCTCAAATGGGAGGGTCTAGGACCAGAGGGCATAATGTCAGAATAAAGGAGCACTATTTTAAGACTGAGATGGGGATGAATTTCTTCTCTCAGAGGGTTGTGTATCTTTGGAACTTCTTGCAATAAAGAGTGTGAAGTCAGAGGCCTTGTGTATATTTAAGGCTGAGATAGATTCTTGATCAGTTTGGAAATCAAGGGTTATGAGAAACAGCAGGAAAGTGGACATGAATAATGTCGGATCAGCCATGATCCTATTGAATAGCAGAGCAGGCTTGAGGAGCCGAACGGCCTACTGTTGTTCCTATTTCTTCCAACCATATGTTCTAGCAACTACAATGCTACAATGTTAGGGAGAAAGTTCTAGGATTTTGACCCAGTGACAGTGAAGGAATCGTGATATATTTCCAAGTAAGGATGGTGAGTGGCTTGGAAAGGAATTTGCAGATGGTGGTATTCCCATATATCTGCTGCACTTGTCCACATCTAACCCAGGCTTGAAATGAAGGTTTGAAATAAAAGCTACACTATCCAGTGGTACCCAGAGCCTCTTAAAAAAAAACAAAGAGGTTTGTTGTTTAACCCAGTTAGACCCCCTTAATTTAACTAGTACATGTTCATAGTGTTGAAACAGAACTTTTCTTATTTCTCTACTTTTGTTTTAAAGTGTATGGGATCCGAAGGAACAGATATGGGGAAGAGAGCAGAAACGAGCAGCGAAGGAGATGGCACTGACCCACAAGCATCGCCCAAACAGCGGCCAAACACATGCTGCTTCTGCTGGTGTTGCTGTTGCAGTTGTCCCTGGTAGGTCAAACCCACTCGCACACATTTGATTTTGGAGAGGAGGCAGGGTGAGGGAGCAGGAGGACGGAACAAGCTCAGATTCCCAAACCTGCCCTTGGAGTTGGATAGGGTGGCTCAGTGGCTCAGTGGTTAGCAAAACTGCCTCATAGAGCCAGGGACCCAGGTTGAATCCCAACCTTGGGAGACTGCCTATTAGGAGTTTGCACATTCTCCCCACATCTGCGTGGATTTCCTCCCACAGTCCAAAGATGCGCAGCTTGGGCGGATTGGCCATACTAAATTTTTGTGATGTGCAGGCTAGGTGGGTTAGCTCAGGTATATGTGGGGTTATGTAGATAGGGTAGGATGCTGTTTGGAGGATAGGTGCAGACTCAGCGGGCTGAATAGCCTCTTTCTTTGATTTGTCACTCTTTGGGTTTTTCAGTGCTTTCTCCAGTACACAACCAGAGTAGAATTATGCAGTGCAAATACAGGGATTAAAAGAAGTGTTTGCTAATATTAGTGGTCTCCCACATTCTACTTCTGTCATGTAAAACTATGCTGCTCCTGTCCTAATGCACACCAAGTCCTATTCTTCATCACCCCTGTACTTTCTAACTTACATTAACATGCTGACCAATTAGCATCTTTCTCTTAGAATTCTCACCCTTGTTTCTAAATCTTTTCATTGCCGTACCCTTTTCCTAGCTCTGCAATCTCCTGCATTCCCACAACCCTCCAAGATATCAGCATTCCCCCATTTCTGACCTCTTGTGCATCCTCAATTAGAATTGCTCCAACATTGGTGGCCAGGCCTTCAGCTGCCTGGGACACAAGCTTTTGAATGCCTCTCAACTCTCTGTCTCACTTTCCTCCTTCAAGTAGGGAAATGGTATCGTGGTCATGTTACTGGACAAGTAATCTAGCGTTCTGAAGAAGGCTCACTGGACTCAAAATGTTAGCTCTTTATCTCTCCACAGATTCTGCCAGACATACTGAGTTTCTCCAGCATTCTGTTTTTATTTCAGATCTGCATTATTTTGTTATTATTGCAACAATACAAAATGTGGTTAACTTTTAACTGCCTCCTGGGTAATTAGGGTTGGGCAATAAATACTGGCCTGGCCAGCAATGTCCACATCCCGTGAATGAACAAAAGACAGCTCAGGCTAATGCGCTGAAGGTAGGTGTTCAAATGGGTGGCAGATGGTGAAATCTGTATTTGATGAACATGTGGAATTGGAAAGCTGATCTAGTGACGGTTACTTGGCCACAGTTGATTGTTGCAGAAACCCATCCAGTTCACTGACACATTTCAGGGAAGGAAATCTGCTTTCCTTACTCGCCCTCGCCTAATGACTTTCTGAAATGGTCTAGAGAACCAAACAGTTCAAGGACAATTAGGGGATGAGCAACAAATATTGGTCTTGCCAGTGACGCCCAAATCCTGTGTAAGAATTCTTTTTTAAAAGACACTATTGAAGATTGACATCTTTTCACCTGAGCTCATACTTCCTGATGTGGCTCCCTATCATTCTATTTTATAACACTCCTGTGAAGCATTAGGACAGTAGAGTTGCTGCCACAAATGCATGTGGTTGTTGTTGATAGAACTGTCCATTCAGTGTTTGATATGAAGCAAAGAAGTAAATTAAACACTGAGCCAGTTTAAAGTTGACCTAAAAGTTGTCTGTTGGGATGTTCTAAGATCAAAGCATTTTCTTTCCTTTTTTTGAGCAGCCCTGACAGCTCAGTGCTTATTGAAGCATGGTGGATGGGTTACAGGAATTTTGCAGTTGTAAGAGGAATGAACACACTGTATTGAGGAGCATCAGAAGCCTGGGCTGTGTCTGGGGAGGTTTTGTTAGGGGACGGTCCGCTTTCAGTTATCCTATAGTCGCCCTGTTCCACTATATGCTTGTGACTTTGTTAACTGGCTCCCTAACTCACGTACATTTTTGTCTCCTTAGCACATATCAATAAATATCTTTGGGCACAGGTACAGGGGACGATCAGAGGAATCCTTGTGAATTTAATCCCAAAGTCTGGAGGGAGAATACATTCATGTATTGATGAGCCAACTTTCAAAATCCTCTTTGAAACCCACCTTGATAGCTTAGCTCATAATCACCATAAGCAATTTTGCCTCCTGCAGCCTGGTATCCATGTATTTTTCTTTTATATTCATTCATGAGATATGGGATAGGCCAGCATTGATAACCCACCCCTAATTTCACCATCTGCAATGGTGGATTTTGAACCCGTAGCCTCAGAACATGAGTCTGAAGTTCTGAGTTGCTTGTTCAGCGATATTACCATTAGGCCACCACGTCCCATAAATGTACCACATTGCACCTCTTTATAAAGGACCCTGGAAATTTTTTTTTTTCCTGCATCAAGGTGCTGTATGAATGCAAGCAGTTGTTGCTGCACTAGAAGGAACTGATCTCTTCAGCTCACCATCCATGTGATACTAAAAACCAACAATGACTTACGGTTGAAAATGGGCTATAATAATAAATATTAGCCTCTCTCTTCCCTTGCTGAAATGCTGTGTGTTTTCTCTTTGCAGTCTCTCTGCTAGGAAAGAAGAGCGAGAGGAGACAGCAGGAAGACCCACTGAAGAAACGAAGATGGAGACCACTGTGGAGACCATTGAATCTAATGAAGAGAGGTCAGGCGAATGGGTTCAGTTGTTTTTATTTAAAGTGTCTATCCTTTGCCTGAGAGCAATCTTCACAAACTCAACTGAACTGAACAAGCAGTCTTGATTACTGACTGCCCACCAATTCTTAATTGTCCGTTACTTTTCTGTTCTCAATTTAAATTGTGAACAGTGTAGAGAATTGCCTAGAATTTCAAGAGGTCATAGATAGGTTGGTGGTTTGGGCGGACAAGTAGGAAGAGAAATGCAGTGCAGAGAAGTGTGAATTATCTTATTTTTGCAGGAAAACAATGAAAAATAAAAGGTATCTTTAAAACGAGTGCAAGAGCCCAGGGACTTGGGTCCATGTATGCATAAGTCATTAAAGGTTTCAGGACAGGTGGTTAACAAAGCAAATCCCGGGGTTTAATGTAGAGGTATAGAGTATAAGACCAAGGAGGTAATACTGAATTTGTATAAGGCAGTGTTTAGATCTCAGCTGGAATGCTGTGTACGGTCCTACTTGCTGCATTTCTGGGACAATTCTGAAGAATGGTTCCACTGATGAGGAATTTTACTACCATGGAAAGGTTGCAGAATCTGGGACTGTTTTCCTTGGAGATAAGAAAGTTGTGAGGATGCTTGGTGGAGGTGTTCAAAATCATGAGGATTCTTGCCAAGAGAAAGTGGAGAGAAACTGTTCCCACAGATCGATCAAGAATGAGAAGACATAGATTTAAAGTAATTGGCAAAGGAAGCAATGGAGACATGAGGAGAAGTCTTTCCACTCAGCATGTGGTTAAGATCTGGAATGCACCGCTTGAGTGTGTGGTGCAGAGCTATTCAACTGAGGCGTTCACAAGGCAGTCAGAATATTACCCGGGAAAGAAATACAGTGCAGGGTAGTGTGGAGAAGGTGGGTGAATGGCCCGTGATGAATTGTTTATTCAGGGGGTGGTGCAAACATGATTGGCTGAATGGCCTCCTTCTGTACTGCGACAATTTTGTGATTCTGTAATGAGTGACTTGTTTAAATAAAACCCCTTGTTCACAATGTTAGTGAGTCATTGGCCTATTATCTGCACTGATTTTCCTTAATCCAATCCCCGTGCCTCATCAATCTGAATCCTTTGTCTGCCTGAATTATTTCTTCTTTCCCCAGGACTTAAGTGCAATATGTGCTTAAAGTCACCAGGACTGCATGGATGATACTGAGGGAAGTGAGAGTGGAAATTGCAGAGGCAGTTGCTGTAATTTTTTTCATCTTCCTTAGACTCAAGTGCTGTGCTGGAGGATTTGAAGAAAGATGTAAGAATAACAGAACAATCAGTTTAACTTTGGTGGCGGGGAAACAATTATACAGGGGATAATAATGTGATCTGATTAAAATATTCAAAATTAGTGCAGAGTTGTTCGGGACAAAATGTTCCCACTCTGTATCGGAACAAATCTGTGATTCTGTAATTCTATGATGAATACAGTATCATCTTTCTTGTTGAAGAAGCTCCAAACTATTCATTTAGTTCCTCAGCCATGTTCCTTGCCTCCATTCCCTAAATTCCCTATTCTCCTAAATTCCCCTTCTGGTCCCTCATTGGCCCCACTCCTCATTTTACCACCCTTTTACAATTTACGTGCTATGGGAAGACTTCTGTACTCTCTTCTGTGATAGCAGCTAGTCTTTTCTCAATCTCTCACTTTCCTTCTGTTATTTATTCCTTCACTCCCCCTCTGAATTTCACATATTTGATCTGGTTCTCAGTTATATTATCCACCTAACATCATCATAAGCGCACTTTTCTCTTTTTCATCTTCCTTTGTCATAGCAGGAGCTCTGGATTTGTTTGCCCTACCTTTTTCGTAGATGGGGATTTACCCCTTAAAGACAGCCCACTGTTCAGTGACTAGCTTACCCTCCAAGCATTGATTCCAGTTGATCTGGGTCAGATCCATCCCCATTGACATGGATGCACTGACCACAATATCCTTTCACCTGGGTTGTGAAGAATACAGGAATTGCAGACAGCTCTTGAGGGAGCAGCAGGTGTAACAGCATCACAGTGTTAAAAAAAAAATGACAAAAAGTAGATTCATTTCACTCATTAAGCACAGCTGCTTCCAGTTGTTAATGATTTCCTGGTGGTTTGTTTTCTTACATTAGCTTACTGGAACACAGAAAAGAATTCTCAAAGGTTTACAACAGCATTTTAAGAAAGCATTCTCTCTCTCTCTTCTGATTTTCTCTTCCTTTCTCCTGTCTTTCATGTCTCCTCCCCTTTCTCTCTCATTCATTCTCTCATCCATCATTCTGAAACTCATTGCAGCCTCTCTTCCACCTCTCTTTATGCCTTTTTATCTTCTCAGTTTCCCACTTGCTGTTTCCTTTCAATTATTTTCTGTGTCTATCGCCTGTCTCTTCCTCTTGTCCCAGTCCACCTGTTTCTTAACTTTTTCTCTCATCTTTTCACATTCTTTCAACATCAGTACAGGCTCAGTGGTTTAAGCTCTGGCTTCTAAGTCAAATGTTTATGGGTTCAGGCCCCAGAGACTTGATCATATAAAGCAGACTGATATATGAATGCAGTACTGAGAGAGTGCTGCACTGATGGATGGTGCTGACTTTCAGATGAAGCATCAAACAAGGTGCCAATGCTCACTCAGAAAAGTATAAAACCTTGGTCTTCAGAAGGCTACAGATATGTAATAATACCTTTGATTCCATCTTTATAGATGCTGCCAGATTTGCTCAGTATTTCCAGCATTTGCAGTCTTTATTTCAGATTTTCAGATTTAATGGCATTTTGCTTTCGTATCATCATCAAATTATTTGTTATATGTATAAAAACATATGTTCATATGAGTTAGGAGCAGGAGTAGATTGTTCGGCCCCTCAAGCCTGCTCCATCATTCAATAAATTCACGGCTGATCCGACTGTGGCTTCAACTTTACTTTTGTGCTTAACCCTCTATACACTTTGACACCCTTGTTCACTATACTGTATTTACCTCTGCCTTAAAATTCTTCAATGACCCACCTCCACCCTTCTCTGGGAAGGGAGTTCCAAAGAGCCATAGCCTTCTAAGAGTCATAAAGCCTCTGATCTCTTTTTAAGTGGAAGATCCCTGATCTTAAACTACATCCTTTAGTTCTAACTTCTCCCACAATTGGAAAAATCCTTTCAGTATCCACCTTGTTTAGTGCTCTCAGGATCTTATATTTTTAATAAATTCAATAAGTTTCAATATTTTCAAATTATTCTCAATATCTCCACTTACCTTTCTGAACTTCAATAGATACAGACCCTTCTGATGCCCAAATTTTCTTCATAAGATAACCTCCATATCTCAGTTATAAGATGACTGTGCCTTCTTCGAACTGCCTTTAAAACGTTGACATCCTTTTCTAAATAAGGAAATAAGGAAATCTAATAAGGAAACTTATATAAGTTAAAATAAGGAAACCTAAACTGTGCACAGGACTCCAGAGCTGGCCTCATCAATACTCTGTCCATATACAACAAAACGTCCCTACATTCACATTCAATTCCCCTTGTAATAAACACCAACATTCCAATTACTGTCCTAATTTATTGTTGTCCCTGCATCTTATGTTTGATCCATGTTCTACAACAGTCAGATCCTGTTGTACTTCAGAACTCTGCAATCTTTCTCCCTTTAAGTAACATGATGGTTCTCTATTTTTCCTGCCAAATTGTACAAGGTCACATTTTCCATGTTATATTCCACCTGCCAATTTTTCTCCACTGACTTAACCTATTCATATCATTTTGTAGATTCTTTATGTCTTCTTCACAAATCAGTTTTCTACCCACCTTTATGGCATCAGTAAATTTTGCAATCATGCATCCAGCTCCTTCACCCAAGTCATTGTTATAAATTGTGAAAAAGTTGAGTCCCCAGCACTGACCCCTGTGGTTACACCTAGCCAACATGAAAATAGCCCATTTATGAATACTCTCTGCTTTCTGTTAGGTAGCCCTACACCATGTTATTGCTACATCATGAGGTCTTACTTTGTATAGTAACCTTGGATGTGGCATCTTATCAAACGTGTTCCTGAAATCCAGGTACAGCACATCCACGGGTTTCCCTTTATCCATATTGCTTGTTGCTGTCTCAAAAAACACCAATAAATATTCCTTTAACAAGACCTAACTTCTCTAATCAAAATATAACGCAGATGTTATTGACATCAGAAGGTAGGAGTTTAACAGAAAAATAGCTAATGATGTTAAAAAAAATCTACATTGGCAGTTTGCACATCCACCACTTGCAGGTTAAAAATCCTACCACATGATGTAGGAGTAGGGGATGACGAATATATTAAACCCAGAAAAGATATTGACAGCAAATGTGATACATGTAAAAAACATAGGATGACAGCATTAGGACTTTAGCAAATCTCCCGTTATCAAGAGACGTCAACGAAGTTGTAGCAATCAACTTGATTTATGAAATAAGAAAAGAAAACATTTGCACTTTGTTGACACGGCAAATAAATTTAGACTGTCTACAATAAGATGAAGAGAAAGGAACAATAGTGGACAAGCTAATGGAGAAATGGATAGCGACTGGAGGCAGTGGCTAAATTCCTAACTGACAATGAATGGATTTTGCCAATAATGTGTTTAATCATATGTGTGAAAATATGACAATTGTGTCAATGAACATAACAGCACAAAGTCCCTTTAGTAATGGAGTGAAATCACATGGTGATAGTTGAGGTGTTTCATAAATCCATAGTGGACCAAGCAAGTTGTAAATTAAAGTCTGCTGTAGCATGGCTAGTCAATATGAAGAGCTGCCTGCAAACAGTCGAGTGCTATAGTCAGTATTCGTTGGTTTTTGAGAGAAATCCAAGAATTCCTTCAGTAATCAGTGATCATAGAATCATTGAGTCATAGAGTATCTGTTGCGAGGAAAGAGGCTGTTTGGCCCATTGTGTCCATGCTGGTCATCAAACATCCGTCTAATCTAAACAAAACGCTGGAAATCTTAGCGGGGCAGGC